CCCCGCCGCTGGAGGTGGAGCAGTTACAAACACCCCAGTTTCACTGAGGCCCCACAGTGGGAGCGGACTGTGGAGTCAGGACTAGGGCACTCGACGTGATTCCCAAGCCCAGCTCCTTCGCTTCCATGTCCTACCCGTCAGATACTGGGGGGGCACTTGGGAGCACCCCCAGGCCCAGCTGGTTACTGTGGTGCAGCATTCAGGCCTCTATGGTCCCTGCTCATTGTCCTGTCTGGGGAATAACTCCCCACCCCGGCGTTAAACCCAGGTTGTGCGCGCCCGAAGGCCGAGTGAGTGAGGTCCGTCTTTCCACACTCTGGACAACTTGCACCTACAGTCCGGTAGTGTGTGCAGAGGCCAGGGAAAGCGAGCCCGAAAGGGAAGAAGTTGGGGACATGGAAGAGAAAAAACTGGATCCCTTTTAAGGGGGCACCAGCTAACTAGTCTCCCACTGAAGAAAAGTTCTACTCAGTAATGCCAGATCTGATTTTCAAAGAAATCTACAAATTAAAAATGTTGCCAACTTGGGTTCTCCCAGTGGCACAACAGGTTAAGTCTTAACAGGAAGCTGTTTCCACAGCCACTGCAGCACGAGTTTGATCCCAGGCCAGAGAGCTGACCCACAGGGCGCAGCAGACCTATCCTGCCTGCTACTCACTCCCCTCAGCAGTGCATTTCAGTGCAACTGCCTGTTCTGCTCCCCACTCTGTCTCGTTTGAATCCCCCCAACCTCTGGCCTCTACCCCAGTTCTGTATGCATAAATAAATCTTTAAAACTAAAAATGTTGGCAGCTAATTGAATGGACCCTGTACTGGGGCAGGTGTATGGACATGGCTCGCATAGAGGAAAAGCTGACCATGTTGACAGGACCAAGTCCTAGACGGGGGTGGCTGCTGCTGCATAAACATTCCTTGCACTCTCTGTGCTGGGGAGCCGAGAGAAAGACCCTTTTCTTTGACAAGAGTGAGGGTGCGGGTGAGTGCAAAGTGAAGGGATGTTGCTCTCAAGAGCAATCAGTCATTTCACCACCAGATGGATTTATTTGGAAACTACAAAGTCAGTTGGAAAGTTCAGTCTCCCAAATCCAGAACCCACAGGCAGCCTTTGTGGCTGCTGCTGCTGTTGGGTAGAAAGGGGATCTCTTTCCTCTCACTGCAGATTGCACATGCAGGGAAACTCTTCTAGCGTCTTCTGTTTAAATAGAGTTTCTCTGTGTTAGTTTTCACAGGAATCTGACATTTGGTGAGGCTGGAGAAAACTGTTCTGTACCTGTGCTGTTTACTTGTAATTCACCTATGGGTAAAATTATTTTATTATTTTGCCCCTAAGAGTGCGATAAAGATCATGAATCTTAAATAACTTGGAATTTCCTACAGAGGAGGAAATGACCAGGTATGAAGGACAGAGGCAATAACGACTGTTTGGATACAAATAGCCCTTAGTGCAACCTCCCTGGGGAGAAACAGGCAGAAACCCCAGGGCAATTCCATCCAGAGGACTTTATTACAACCCCAGATGATGGAGCATCCCACTCCCTGTCATCAGGGATGACATCAGGGATCACTGTGGGGTGTCAAGTAACAGGAACACATAAGTGAGCCAGGCTGAACCAGAGGGTCTGGGCACACATAGGCACAGCGCTGGTGAGGTGTGGGAATACTCCTGGAGAGCCCGATGTGCTTCTCAGCCTTGTGGCGCACTGGCCTCTCCTGCCTGTCTGGGGAAGGTGCCAGCCCAAGTTGGGCTCCATCCTTCATGATGAGGCAGGTGCTGCCCCCTGGGAGCCTGAATGGGGGGGCCGTTGTGGCTGCAGTAAGATGGAGGAATTCTCACCTGACACGGGAAGCCTTGAGCCAGAGGAAGGGCTAACACCTGAACAAGGTTTAGTGCCAAGATTCCAGGAGAGGAGTTAAGGTGGGAGAGCTGAGGTGAGGATTTAAGTTAAGAGTGTAGACTCAGGCATTTGGAGATGATGAGATAAAGCAACAACAAATATTTAATAACAAACATGCATAATGTTTTATGTGAGCATTGTTCAGGCCTGGGGATACTTTGGTGAACAAGACTAAACCAGCCGCCATGTGGAGATGGTGTGCAGATCAAACTAGATGGCGGGGGGTGGGGAGGATGTGATGCTGTGAAATTGTCTGGAGCATCGTCAGGCTTGCTTCGGGGAGCCCCCAGGAGGGTGGTATGGAACGGCCAACCCGGGTCAGACAGCCGGGGCACAGGTGCTCTCCTTTGTGGACCTTTTGTTCAGAAACAAGAGAAGAGGGCAGGTCAGAGCGTGCATTTGTGGCAAGACCCATGTGCAGCCCCCACCCCCACCAGTGCAAGGCTAACAAGCCCTTAGTTCCCCCTTCTAGCCCACAGAAGAGGCCACACCCGGGAGCCCTGACGTACCTGTGGCCACAGTGCAGGTGCTGCCCAGAGCCAGAGCCAAGGCTGCTGACCAGCTGCCCCCAGGATGCCTTTGGTTTTGACTTATCCCACCACCCTGAGCTGGATTGGAGGTTGCTGTACCCTCTCCACCTACTTTTCTCCCAAGAACTTCCACAGGGCTGCTGGAGGGGCCCTGATCACAGGGTTCTGGTGGAGGAAGGAAGGCCAGAGAGGCATCTGTTGGAGACCAGCTCCAACTATTGAGGTGTCTGGAGGCAAGACAGGCAGGACCCTAAGGCGTCAGCGAATGGCGATTCCTAAAAAGGGGAGGAGAAAACAGGGAAAGGGGGGCGAGGAAGACACAGGAGTCAGAGTTGGATGCAAGTCTTCCTGCTCTGCCTTCAGCAGAGGTTTACTTTATACATTAGGAGCAAGCAGTGGGATGACATCAGCACACGAACTGGGCTGAGAGATTACAGGCATCCCAATGTTTTGTCCCGATTCTGTGACCGGTGGCAAGGAAGAAATAAGGAGACAGAAAGGCTGAAAAGGTAGAGCTTATTGCTCCCGGGCAGCAGCTGAGACAGAGCTCCCAAGGGTGGGGTCTGCAGCTGCTGTGAGTGCAGTAGAGGGAAGGGTCTCTTCGATTGGCTTTAGGTTCCTTTTTTTATTTTAATGGCGCTTCACACCTGAATGCAAAGGTCCGGTTCAGGTATTATCCACCTGGTCACACTCGACACACAAGACTGAGTCCCACAAAGGGAAAGGTAGAGGGGCCAGTGCAGCAACGGACACAGCCAGAAAATCAAGATCCTCGGGCACCAGAACCAGGATGCCGGCGCCCAGGTGAAGACAAGGACTTGGAGATGGAGATGGAGCTCACAGATTCTGTTCAAAGACAACAAACCCAGGCTCACAGGGAGTGAGCCCCTTCCCGGGAGAGGCTGTCTGCATCTGGACAGTCCCTGCACCTGCACGGGCAGCCGCTCCTCTGCCCACCTGTGACACGCAGGTGCTTCTCCCCACCCGCTCTCCCTCGGCAGGGCAGCAGTCTCCTGCCTGCCCGTGACCTGTCCCTCGCCGGGACCTCTCTGCACTGACCCCTCAGCAGAGGCCGCTCTCCTAAGACCACCCACCTGCAGCCACGTTGGTCTCTTTCCCTGCAAACCGGGTCCCTTCCGGGCAGCTCTTTCTGCCCGCTTGTACTGACGCAAGGGTCCTTCCCTCTCCTGTCTCTTTCTAATAAACTTCCTCTTTAAATATAACTGAGTCTCTGTCTCGTGAAGAATCTTGCCATGTGCTGCTGAAAGGGGAGCTCTGGGGAAGCCTTTCCCAGAGTGAACCCGAGGACCCTGAACTCAAAAAACATCAGGTCCTTAACTGGCTTGCCTCCCACGGAGGGCTTCCCTTGCCGCACCCCCACCCACCTGCCCCAGAGGACAGGACAAATACTGGGCTTGAGTAACAAAGCCCAGATGTATGAAGGAAGAGGGGTGTGCTTGCAGCC